CTAAAAACAAAGACATTAATGTCACGAAACTCAATTTGTAAATGTGCGATATTCTCAAAGTTTTATGGGATGATAGCCATCAAATACAATCCCATTATTATGTCATTCACACCTTACGACATCATTTGTCATGTGACGAAGGTTTTAGGAATAAGGGCAGTAGTTTATTCATAAGAGGTAGCGAGCAAGAATTCCGCGAGTGCCTGCGAAAGCAGGAGAAGAAACAGGGGAGTTTTTAGTCAGTAAGAGTCTGACACTCCATCGCCTCACCCTAGGTGGGAGAAAACATTTGATGATTTTCGCCTACCAAAAAACCGGGAGCGGGCAGCGTTTTAGTAAATATTTTTTATTTATTTATTCTTTTATTTAATCATTTATTGCCATAAGGCATTATCTAACAGTCAACAATAGTAGAGGCTACTTTAGAGAAATCATGCGGTTGGTGTAAAGGAAACATACAGTGTCCCAGAACAAAATAAGTCTTTGTTTGCTATTATAAGAAACCTAAAGAAGAATATTCAAATTAACTATTAGATCAAAAACAAAGAATCTTTTTGATCTTTAAATGACTATACATGAAAATCACATCTTTGGAGTCTCGCTTCAATGAACTTAGCCAGTAGGCTAAATTAAGCAGTAGCTTAGGCCGGGTTGCTTACAACTACCCGATTTGGAATTCATTGGAGGACATCTATGTTAAACAGATACATTGTTTTTCTTTATAGTTCACGTGATGGTCGGTAAGGAACGCGGGTGAGGTAATCAAAGTTTATTGTAAAAATAATCCGAATCAATTCCGCTTTCGCTTGTCAATAAAAACGTTACCTTACAAAAGGGTATCATTCGCTTTCCGTGCCCCTACACAAAACCTTTCTACAAAAGAAAGCAAGAAGAGTTATAGGTACTAACGCAATTCATTTCATTTATTTTTCAAGCACCAATAATTACCACTAGTAACGAACAGACAAATTGAATAACATTGGAACTTTCATAAGATACGTTATTCAATTGAAATAAGGTTCAAATTCGATCCAATGTCCATTGATAAGATAGGCTGTTTTATTGAAACTATCTACATTAGATCAACTTATCACTCAGAATATATTTTGGTACAGTTTACTTCGTACGTTTGCTGTGTAAAATAAAGCTATTTTTGGTTACAGTTTTCAAGTATACATATAATATTAAGGGTTGATTTTTCATTAGTCACATAATTGTTATCTGAGGAATAAAATTGCTGCTCTCACTGTCTTATACAAGCATTCTGATGCGACAGCATCATAATTGTTCCCCAGGTAACTTTTATCTAACCATTGAAAAATCAGCCCTAAGGTGTATAAACAAAATAGTGCCTACATAAAATGATAATATCAACTTAACATTAACGTAATATTTTTGTATATTATCTGGGGACAGACTAAACGGCTTACTCTCGTAAATTAATTGAGAAACGCTGCTCATGAATAAGAGTCCCGTTTTGACTGGAAACTAGTCGAGCTTTTCCCATTTTATTCACATGAGTAAGTCGTTGCTTCTTTCCTATTAATACAATATTTATAATTTATAACCATTTTGGGATATATTCAATTAATTAAGTTTAGACTAAATCCTGTTATATCGTAATTATGGGCTACGGGTGTGGCTTGAAATCAGTCGAGCCATCTAGTTTCGTGAGTCGTATGATCTAATTAAACAGCATAGTCACAAAAAATTAAGTCATAAATCATAATATATGATGTCAATCCTAAATTATATTTTTAAATAAGGCGATTCAGATTAACATTTTTATAGCGTTAATAATTGTGCATAACAAAAAAATAATGTAAGCATAAACAAAACATTTTTAATTGTAAGAGTTTTTGCGTCACACTCCGATGGACACAGAGGTACGATTTGCTAATAGGAAATCATTCACTTAACTTCTATGGTATAATTAGACCATCAAGACTATAAACTACACCAACGCCATCTAGCGAACGCAAAAATTCTCACATGTCACTAAATAATTCCATTCTTAATTCCACAAAAGGAACGCCACAGAGTTAACAAAGAGAATGCTGGATGAGCTTAGGATTCCATTTACTAGCAGCGTCAAATCATACAGCTTTGCAATGATAACTGGCAGAGCCATTGTCTCTTCGCTCGTGGTTGTCATTTCTTGCTTAAAGGTATTATGTAAGTCCATGATCCGCTTTGCAGTGGCTTACCGTTCTAGCTTCAGTGTCTTGTATGGAGGTTTAAATACGATAGCAATTAGTATTTTGAAAAAACAATTGAGTTATGTGTTAATAAGGTTTAATATCGAAAAGCGAGGTCTGGTTTTCAATGTCTCTTTTTTATTTCTTTCTCTCTTTTTCTCTCTTGTCTTATAGGAAACAAAAGAGAGAATGTTACTCGTGTGTGATTTTAAATTTAAATATTAAAATTTTCTTATTGGAAAAACCAAATATTGATACATTTTTGTCTTTATTTCAGTGAAACCTGAGAAAAGGGGGTTTAGCGAGGACTATCACATCTCGCTTAAGGCTTATTTTCAGTGATTCAAATATTGACATTTTGAAGTACTCTCGCTCTCGCGGGTTCAAGCCACATAGTATGGAAATACAGAAGGTACGAAATGAAAAATAGGTATGATATAGGTAACAGGGTAGTTTTAAGTCAGTGAAGAGAAGTAATTGGATTATTTTCTGAGGACGATATATTTATAAAAATACAAGATCCAACCGCAACTTCGTCCGCGTGGTATGTTGATAAAAAGTAACCCATGTCCTATTTCGTCCAACGGTTTTAGCGTGATCTTTTTTTCCACTTATCATATTAGTAAGATTAAATGAAATAAAAAATAGTTTACTGTCTCAATAATAAAAGTAGTTGGTATTACTTTATGCAGTCTTTGAGTAATTATTATTACAATAAGTGCTGTTATTGTATCCCTTGGGATTGGGCCGCCGGTAACCTCACTCACATGGCGAAGCATACCGCTGGTTGTTTCACTCCGGTTTTCCGTGAGACCGTGGTATCACTCCGGTGGAGCCGACCCATTCGTGCCGATGCATGGCTCTCCCACACTTAAAATAATGATGTGTGTTTTTTCCAACCATTACTAAATCTATCAGGAATTTAACAATGGACCTTCTGTATTTCTCTACTATATGACGTACTCGGAGTATACCCGTCCGATATTTACTCGTAGCGTTAATATTGAATCTCAATTTGTTACGTCGTATGTTTTTCAATTAAAATGGTTGAAATTTTTCATGTAATAAATCAAATAGTGAACCCGGTCGAAATAAAGTAATTTCGATTGTTGATTCCTATGCTATTTTATACCTTTTGAAGATGACAATACGGCTGATTTTTATTTCAAGCGGCGTTTTGTAACATTTGTTCCATTAGAATTTTTCATATGTTGAAATAGATTTTTTTCATGATAACATTCAGACCTGGCAAAACAATATACGTAGGGGTTTAAAAAATAAATGTTCTTTAGCGGTTTTTTACTAATTATGATTTATATTGTTTAGTTATTGCCACGCAAAGCGAATCTCTTATAACCATAGTAAAATCAAAAATTAAAACAATATTATTGTCAGTATTTAAAAGTAATAATCATTATTTTAGTTACAAGTATAGGTTATGTAGCATTATATTTTAATAAAATAAAATTACGGTGTTCTTAAGTAAATTATAAAATATTTTATGCTACAACAATTTTAAATTTCGAATAAACATTTAAAAATATTTATGTGAATAAACTTTTATAAAACATAAAGTATTAAAAATAATGTTACAAACAATTTTGTTAAAGTTTAAATTTGAATTTGGAATTTATAGTTTCAATATCGAATTTAATTGTGCTATAAACATTCAGATCACATTTTAAAAATAATTAAATTAAAATAATTAAAAGTCATATAATCATTATTTTCACAGCGTTCTTTTAGGCTACAAATTTGCTAATCGAATTTGGTTTTGAAAATATCTTATGGCTAGCTTTTTACTACATTTCTATCTGTACCAATCCCTGCTTACTGGTGATATCATTTCAATACAATTAGTATGCAATCGTCTTGATGGCCCGGAGGTTTGATTCCTAGTTTTCATACATGAGCGGTTTGAAAACTAACAAGAACCTACCAATGTGTGTGATGTTAACAAAAGAAAAGAAAAGTATATATTCATACATTTGTTGTATAGTAGAAGTACCTAAAAGGTAACTTATTGCTAAAAATGGTTGACTTCGACTTTACTACCAACAAAAAATAAAAAAATAAATTTAATGATTTCTACTTAACGTGTAAATAGAGGTCAAAATCACTTTACTCCCATTACAGACTCAATTCGGACTAAAATACACGCACAAAACTGATATAAATATTCTTCATAGTTATTCTAAGCATTAGAATCAACTTTTATAACTTTTTAATGTCCCAAATGACCACAATTACATCTGCTTAAGTGAGTCATTATCGAGCAACTATCAGAAGAACTGTTACAGTTTCATTGCAATCATTATTACTAATATTTAAGAGAATTACTCCATTCAGAATTAAGGCTTTAATGCTGATATCAAGGCCCCTAATTACTCTATTAGCAGGAATTAATTTTCTATCTTTATTAATCAGTGGTTCTATCAAATTTCACATTAAAGGAGTCTAATTATAGAATCTGATCTTGATAATTTAATTGCTTTTTTGATGAGGAAATTGGTTTTTAAGTTTAAAAGGTCAGTTGCTCTTTTTTGGATGAGATAATTTTCGACAGTAATTTGGTGTCATGTGTTACACAAACCTCTTAATTAACAGTTCTATCCTCTGCAACGAAAGATAATTAGCAAAAATTATTTATGTGTACTTTCAATATAGTTTTACGGTTCAAAATTATCGTACTTATAATGTCTTCGAAAATTTCAAAACCAAATTCGATTTATTTAGTTAATATAGTTAAATATACATAATATAATATCTTTATACAAAATCTTCATACATTACAAGCTTAACCTACACTTGGGTGGCATTTTCACCAGCGTTCATCAAAAATGGTTCTTTCACTTCACAAGAATTTTTCTTTCGCGGCTTAGGGGGAGGCTTGGGAGCAGTCCTGGACCTTCCTAAGGTTCCACTAACAACGTTCACTGAATAACCCGATCTAAACTCACAGTTTCTTAGAAGACCCTCATTTTCTGCTAGGGTCACTTTTAAAGGCCTTTGTTCTGACTTGATGAACTGATTCGCCGACATAGCCTGCAAAGTCAGCAGCTGATTGTGAATGTTTGGAGAACTCAAGCTGTTCCTTGGTATCGTTGCATGAGGAGTTCCTGGTGCAGGAGACGGGGCTGGCTCCTCATCATCAGGGTACGAAGGCATCTTCCCCATAGGACCCAAATCTATCTCACTTTTATTCAAACTGTAATAGTTACCACCATGGTTGAAGAACCTCATATTAAAAGTGTCATAGTATGGTATCACACCATTCAGAGTTGAGAACACTTGTGGACGAAGACTGTTATCAGGAACCATTCTAGGTCTTCTAGGTAAGGTAACGTATCCCTTAGAACTGATAAGGGGTATTGATCCCTGGAAGTTTTGACCTTGAAACCTGCCATAGATGGCTGGATTGACAGCAGTCACCCCGTAAACTGGTGATTTGATTGGACTTTCTGTGTCTTGGGAAGTTCCACCTGCAGGAGAGACTTGGGTCCCCCTAAGAGGGAATGCAAGGAGGTCTGGAGGGTACGCTTGATGCTCTTGAGCTAGGCGGTCCATGAGTAAAGCCTCATGGGATATTTTCGGAAGTTCCACTTCTTGATGCCGACTGTTGTCTTCAGTAGATGCTGTGGACAATAGAAATGTACATTAGTTTTTAATTTTATTAATCTAAACATTATTACTAGGTTTAAATCTATCTGGATTCTACCAGTGTGATAGCAAACGCGTTATTTTAGTAGTTTGCTAATAAACTCCACATTGAGAACCCCAAGTTTTGGCCTTGACAACTGCCTCATAATTTATATAACAAACAGCTCCCCAGTTGGCGGGTTCACCAGAAATCAGAAAGAAAACAACACTGACAATGCTTAAAACAAATATTTTTTGCGAGAACCCGCCGTCATTACCATAACAGTATAATCTCAAAAACAAGTCAAAGCTGTTGACATTTGAAGGCTCCCGACTTTTGCCGGATAAAAATTCGACGCAATTGTCTCCAACAAGTTGGGTAGTCATTAAATTTCATGTCCATTGTTGGTTTGGTACGGTGAAGCAATGAAGATATTCTTACAGAAGAAAATAATTCCGTCTTTCTCCTCGTCCACGAGTTTAAGAAGTTTTAGGTTCATCAGGATAATTTTAGAAACTTAACTATCTTTTTGGCATTTCATGATCTTGTGGCGATTGTAATCATCAATCGACTGTACATTTGACACGACATGGCTGTGCAACGTGTCGCGGATTCTATTGTCTATTCACGTTTGGAACAACTCTTTGTGTGATCCACAAATTATTACTCCCGCTCTAGGTGTCGTTTGTATGTGAAATTGTATGTTTGTAAATGCACCCTTTGGCTCAGGAAATTCCTAGACATTGCGCCCAAGGCAACGCGACGATAACGAAAATTTGTCTAAGCAAAATCCAAACTGCTTTTCTAAGGTAAGAAGTTTCGGGAGTAAGTGGATATGTGTCTCATTATAAATTCATGCGCTGATCGTCATCATTCGTTTTATCCCCGGGGATAAGATGAATGGGGTTTTTCCATGACACTGTTCACAGACACCAATCTATTTTGAACTTTACCAACTTGCGTGAACGTCTGAAATCCATCGAGCGAATTGGACAGTTACATACATACGTTAATGATTTGGTGTTCCATAATTTACTCCAGAGACTTACAGCCCTTGAAATACTGATCAGAATAACTGAAGACATTTTGTATTCTCTCAATATTTATAGTGGAGCAAGGTAAATAGAAAATGTACCGTTCGGTTGGAAAATTTTCAAATCTGTTTGAGTGTGATTGTATTGGGATGGGAATGTTGTATGTTTGTCTTGAATTTATTATGATGTCGCTTGAAGCAAAATGTTTTAGATAGAACAAAGGAACGTATGGGTAGTTATAGTATGTTGTTGTATTGTTATTTACTTTGTAGATATAGTTATTTTGCTAGTAATAAGAAAAGCTGTGAAGGTTTGAGAGTTTGGTTAAAACACGGATATTTTTTTCTTTTCAGAGGACATATTTTTATTTGGTTCATGATTGTGCATTTCTTTTTATTAAAAAAAATGTTTAAACATAAGTAGGTTTTGTGGTAATAAGGACAATAAAGATGGATTTTTAATTTGTTCTGAATGAGATATTTCGATTGTTTCTAACTAGTCAAATTTAATACTTTTATTGAAACATCTAAAACGATACTTTTGTATGAGATAACAGCATAGGACGTCATAATAGTTTGACGTCAAACAGCAAACATATCTTTAAATAATTAATGAGGTAAAATTTAAAATTAAGTATAGCGTCATATCAATGAACGAAAGTATGATAATTTTAATAATTTATTGTTCAGAAAAGTTTGAAAAAAAATTAAGCTAAGGAATTTACCTATACTTGGTATTATTATTATTTGCGACTTATACATTGTAGTATTAATATTTATTTAGAGACAGACCCAGACAGCCATAAAACCGAAAAAAAAGAAACATCAACAATCAACAGCAAAAACATTAACATTTATGAATTAAATATCAACAAAATATTTATTTCCAAGAAAAGACTAATTCTTGTTACGAAGTTAACACAAAACAGAACCATTACACTATAACTAAAATAACTTTGATTAATACAAAACGCAACATCAAAGCGAATTAAAATTCGAGAAATTCGTCCGAATTTCGGACCAAAAGTTTATTTGGTATAATTTTATCAGTTGGCTTAAATTTGTTTACAGAGGGAATCGAGAGAAATTAAGGCAATCATAAACAAAAGATTTAAACGTACCGGCTATGTTTAGTAATTTGTGTGAGACCAGGGACTTAATTGTTATCCTGGGTAGATCTTTTATTCATTTTAGATCTACAATGTCATTATTTTTTGCACGATGTGATCTCCAAATTAGGATAAGCATGCGACGATTAAAATTGTAATTTTTTTTAATATTGCGGATGTAAATTAATTATTATGTTTTCGTGTCGCGGAATACTGCTCATGAATATGGGCCTCTAGCATGGATTGAAACTAGTCGAGGAGTAAGCCAAAAACATAATAATTAATTTAAAATGTCTCAGGAAAGTTATAATAAAAATATTGCGGATGTAATGTGTATTCTCTGTTGGAGATCCTAAAAAATAAATAAATAAAGAAACCACATTGCCAAGCTTACGCAGGTCTTATCTGTTACATTTTATGTGGAAGAAAACCTTTGGCCAAAGAAGCAGTCAAGATGTAGCGAGTGCGATTGTGGAGTGGAGAGTTAGAGTTTACATTCCGAAGCTACCAATATTTTTTTTTTATTTGTCCTTTATTTGCCAAATTCTCTCCTGAGCCAAGGATAGATTTATAATCACAGACCCAAAACAACAGTACGTGGATCACACAAAGATTTGTTTCTTACGGAAAAGCGACACGTTGCAAGGCTACCAGTAGTCCCCATTAATCGTGTAGTCAAAATGGTAGATTTTAGTCTGGGAGATTCAAGTTTCAGATTAAATGGGTCAGCTCGACCGGAGTGATACTGATTGTCACTCACAGAAAACCGGCGTGAAACAACCACAGTATTATATTTCACTGTGCGAGTGAGTTTACCGATCGCACTGTCCTTTTTCCCCTCCCCCATTCTCATAATCTCCAGAATCCCCAAATGGGTGAAAACGCAGTCGCAACTCTTCTGGTATTGCGGTTGTCCATGAGCGGCCGATTGCTTACCATCAGGTAATCCGTCAGCTTATTTACCGTCCTATCACTGAATATGTTTCTTTGTATTTTGTTTTCGGTTTGTTACTGTGCTACATATAATTTAATTTGGAACAGTTCTCATAGTTACGCATTTTATTTATGTTTAAGCTGTTTACTTTTTTAAGTGACAAATTCACTATGATTATCTATGTACAGTTGTTCATGTTATATGTTAGTGAATAAGTCGTTGGAGTACCTTTATAGTAAAATAAAATAAATATTTATAAAGGACTAAAACATAATATACGTATACATAGAACTCATAACCTTAATGTTAAAAAGTGAATGTAACATTATATTTATACAACTCTGCTTACCCTCCCTACCCCCTACCTCTCCCCAAGGATAATGGGACATAGCATTATGGAATGTCATAAGATATCTGTCAATTTTTGCACAGTGACAGGGATTATACCCGTTTCGAGTGAAACAGCTGTGTCTCTGCAAAGAGCGGTTTATTTAGACACCGCTTGACCGAATTCGCTTCGGCCAGAGCTCTCTTGGTTCAGCGAATTAGAGTAAGCGGTCCTTTTGCATAGAAGATCAAGTTCCTATCGCTTGTAGTATTAGCTAGTATTCATAAGTCAGTCAGTTTAATTAGAATATAAGTAACAAACTCACTAATTATTAGGTACTTTGTTAAAAATACTGAGCATGTTTAGTTGAAATTTGATGTAAAATATTATATTAATAACAAGTAGAATCTTCTGAAATAATTGTCATGTTCGTGTGAATGAGGTTACCGGATGCCCAACCCTTCCCTTGCCTTCCCCAATCCCTAAATCTCTGAAACCCTTATCCCCAAAAGGCCGGCAACGCACTCGTAACTCCTCTAGGGTTACAGGTGTACATGGACAGTGCCGGTTGCTTACTATCAGGGCTACACGTTTGCCAACCTATCACATAAAAAAAATTAATTAGAACATTATGTTAAACGACATTAATTTTGGGGAGGTCTCTGTGGACGCAACGGAGATTTTGTGGATGACACATGTGACGATGATGATGATGATGAAGATGGTGATAAAACGACGTTCTCGGTTCGATTTAATAAGATCAGCAGAATATGTTGAAATGTAATGAAAAACCTTATCCACAAAGACATGGTAATACAAAAGGTGACAAAGCGAAAAGAAAGTCACATAGCATTTTTCGTCTTCAGCAGATGCGAGAATTAATAGCATTAACGTCTAAAATTAAACTAGTGCTAATCTCGTTCTATAACTAATATACCTAATTTTCTATTGTCTAGAAGCACTTTTCTAATAGCCACTTTTCTTCAAAAACCATACAAGATCAACAGATGAACGTACAAAGAATAATTTCGGCATCAACTTTCAAACTTCCGACTTTTGTCCAAGACTTCGGATATTAATAATATAATTATAGAAATCATGTTTCTGAGCTTTGCAAAATTAACTTTGTTTCATAAGTTAGAAACTCAATGTCCAAAGAACGTTGACTGAAATTAAATTGAAAACTTTTTAATAGAAACTCGATAATATCCTGAATAGCTGAATTACAGTGAACTATAATTATAATCGTCGCAAAATGGCTGCCCTGAAATGCCATTGTAATTAAAATTTGTAATTAAATGACCTCTAATTGCGCCATTGTCACGTTATAATGCTGATGGTTGTAAATGGCTGCACAATTGGCGTAGTGGATTGCTTGGATGGATTGGATGGCTGCTGTGCAACGTGTCGCAGGTTCGGTGATTCGGTGCTCGCGTGGAAAAATTCTTTGTGAAATTCCTGTTCCAGGGTTGCTTGTGAAATGGTACAGTTTATTATTGAAGAAACACTTCGAGTGAAATCGCATTTTTAAAAGCTTACTCATAATAAAACGCAAAATTTTGTAATCATGGATGGGTGTGGGTTACCCTTTCATAAAAAATAAATGAACAGATTTGGATGAAAATTATAAAGTGATAAGTTATAGTTCAGAAAGCATATGGTGTAACTTTTATTCTGGAAACGCTACGAAAAGCCTAAGGCAGGAGGCACTAAAATAAAATCAGTAACAGAAGCGGATCCTATTTCTTAATCAGGGGCACCATTTTAAGCCTTTAGTATTACTTTAGTAGCCTTTAGTATTATTTAAGTATTACTGAGGAATTTGAAATTAAGACTTTAATAACACTTTAGGAAAAGGGTATCACTAAGATACAAGGCAAGTTAGGTTACTGAGAGGCGAAGGGCCGTGGAAGAGCACCATAAAGAATAGCAGAAGAAATCGTACCCATAAAAAATTTAAGAGCGCCAATGAGCTGCTTACTAGAACGCTCACAAGATTCCGCCTCTGAATTAACCGTTACCGGGTAAGGAGTTGGTTTTTAAATATAGGAATTTGATCTAATTCATTTACAACTATCAGACTGAACAAAAACAGAAACCTAACCTACAAGATAAATTAATATTACTAATGATATTTGTGTCTGAAAATTGACTACAAAGCAGCACATTTTCCGGCAATATTTTCAAACTAGCTGAATGAGTACAGCATTTTCTTTCTGGCTACTAATAGAAGAAAAACTGTAGACGCATAGAGGTGATTATTCATTCTACACGTAACTTCGTGGTTAAACTCTAAGTGTTCTGACTTCAGCACCTGGCACATATTACATTCTTCTTAGGAGATCGGCACGACTTCACTTAAATTCTATTCTACGGTGGGAAGCTACTGAAGGGTAAAGGCAAGGCTACAAGGAGACTTCTGGAACAATATTTTGTTTAACAATTTTCTCCATAGGCACAGTACTGGTATCGAATGAGATTTGTCTGTTAGTACAGAGATTAAATTCATACTTAAGATGTTGTTATAAGGAAATCGTTTATTTACATGAGTAGGCTAAGCAACTATAATATAGAAGTGATGAAAAAAGACACTAAGTAGATAGATAGCTCACTTTTTGAAGGTGTAGGTTTTAAACCAATATTTTAAAAATTCAGGATACAGTACATACAGATTAAAAATGGAAATCTCAGTCTTCTATAAATAATATGTGCCTCTTTCTGAGCCATACTTAAGCATAGACAAGTATGAGTGGATTGATATAACGGCCTTGAACGCTTGCGTTTTGTTTTGCTGTGTGAGTCACGTTATCGTAAGCCCAATCAAATATTTACTTTCTGGTTCCTTATGCATTTAAAAATGACTTAACGTAAATTTTATTTGTACTATTTTATTGAGGATTAATGGCTTTCATAATAGAAGTTGGAATTTACAAAAGTATTTTTAAAATAATAGGCTTTATAAAATGTTCAATATCCGTGCTGAAGTTCAAATTTCTGCGATATTATGGAGACTGGCAAACAAGGGGGACTGAAAAACTCACGCAAAAGGTCTTTGTGAAAAAAACTTCTTTTTTACACAATGATTTTGATTTTATCTAGATGGATGTAGTAAACAAAAAACATCCATGACTCAGGAAAAATTTGAAGGGCAACGCTTCAAAACATGGAGTACACACGGGAAGTGTCCTAAAAGTATTCATGTATGACTGACCCCTTACTTTCCAATGTTGTTAGCACTCTACACACGGAGCGAGGCAGCAGTGTCGCCCTGGCCACTTCGAAGGACATGTAGTGAATACCTTTTGTTTATATTGAAAACAATGTTGTAACTAGTTTTCTTGATATTGCTCTCTAAAATAGAACTTGAAAATTAAATGAAAACTTTGTTGTTTTCTAAAGAGATGATATTCTGTATTGTAATTTTTGGCCTAGTTGCTTTGTCATAAGACTAGTTTACTTAACAAAAAGTATTCGTAATGTTACATTACATTGAAATTTTTGTGGGTAATTGCGCCTACGTTACGTCATAAAGTCCACCTACTTTGCATGGGCAGACTTAATGCCGCAGACATTTTCTACACGTTAAAGGGCAAAATATTGACATGCGTACAGTGTGTGTAGAAATATATAAATATACAAAAATTGTAGTGATATAACGACTTACCTAAAACAGATTCGTTGTCTAATAAGGTCCTATTCAGTTCCGACATCTCTGTTGCTTCACTAGTGAAGGATTGAGGTGCCTCATACTTCCGCGGCGGCTTCGACACAGGATTCACCTCCATCTTCATCGCCTTCTCAGGTTCAGAAGCTTCTGACGCCTCTATTAACACGTCCCCATTGGAAGAACGAGTGTCGTTCTTAATCAGTCTTTTAATTTCATTGTTTTGGGTAGTAAAGTAACAGACTACTAACGCAGCTCCGAAAATTATAACTATAGCTGTTAGACAGCCAACTAAAATTGCAAAGGAATCGGTGTCCATGCCAGCTATGGTACCAACCCCTCCGTATCTTGAAAGCACAAGAGTCAATGTTTTCTCATCACGACCCCCGGGATTCTCAGCAACACACGTATAGTTCCCTCTATCGCTATACCTCGCATATATTATAGTTAGATTCACCCATCGTATCAAATCCATAGTATTCTCAGCTACCGTGTACCTTATCTCTCCAAAAGCCTTCATCTCAATAGTCTTCCCATTAAATCGCCAACCGACTTCAGGTGGTGGATTCCCCACTACTTTGCAAGTCAGAGTCACGTTTTCATCGTAACTTTTCACCGTTGCGTCTGGCACCGGCTCGAGTATTGTCGGCCGGCACGCGAAGTTCGACGAATCTAATTCATTCCAAAGTTTGTCTTGTACGGATGGCGGTTCGGCACACGACGTGGGAGGGGTGTAAAGGTTGTGACTGATCACCCAGTCCCGAAACGTTTGAAGATTGCAGTCGCAACGCCATGGATTGTTGTGTAAATCTAACCCGGACAAGTTTCTCAGCCCCATCAAAGTTTCCGGCTTCATATGACTCAAATTATTCCCATTGAAACGCAATATTTTCAACTGCGGCAAGTTGACGAACGCCTTAGTTCCTATACGGTGTATCCTATTGTTGCTCGCCTCTACTTTCTGAAGAAACTTCAAATTGCGAAATATGCCGTCGTCCAACTTGTCGATGAAGTTGTTACTTAAGTTTATTAATCTCAGCTTCTCTGTGCCTTTGAACGTATCGGGGTGCAGTGATCTGATTCTGTTCTTCGATAAATCTAGTTCGATCATGATTGCGAGAGTAACGAACGCAGTTTTATGAACAACTTCGATGTTGCACTCTTTGAGGAACAGTTTTTTGAGGTTACTTAGCCCTACTTTTTTGAATGCTTCTTGATGTAATTGTTGTAGATTATTGTTAGAGAGGTCTAGTATTTGTATGTCGTTGCTCAAGTTTGCGGGAATAATTTTTAAACTAGAGTTAGAACAGATAGCGGCTTTGTTTCCGGACTGCCATCTGCAGTCGCAAGGCCTCTGGCACTCTGTCGTGAAGTCTGCCACCGTGGTGGTGAGCAGCGCGAGTGGTATGCACGCGATTCTCATCCATGTCGTCCAGTACTTATAGTCCATTTTGCTGTAGTGTTGGTCATTTCTTCGTGCCGTAGCATACCTGGAGCGTTATCGTCAGCCGACGCATTGGTGTCTGCAACAAACAGAAATTGAATTTTAGTAAAAGCTTTTATTATTTTATTCGGAAAATGCAATATTGTTGAACAATGGCTTTTTGAACTGCAAAAGAGAATCCGTAATCTGATAAACTACTTGTGTAAATCTTTTTATTGTTCACGGGTCCTTCGTGAGCGATAATATGAAACGATTTTCATAAAACAATTTTGTTTAAAAGCGAGTGATAAAAAGTAGGTTTTATTAAAAACAGGTGGTAAATTTACCTGACCAACGAAAACTAACAATTTTAAAACTAAATGCAAAATCAATACTTTCACAAATCTGCACGACAAAGGTGTATAAAACTAAAATATTTTTACAAAATGTATTCTTAAACCATTTTCTTGACAACATTTTGTTGAGAAATTTCTCGTGCACCTTCCACTGAGTAAGGTGGAAGAATTATGACCTAAATACGTGACGCAGCTCAAATAGCTGATAAAGTATAAATAGAAATAGCTTCACCCATTCTTGATAATAGTTTATACAGCAAGCTGGAAAGTGAGAATGAATTTTTAAAATGGAATTTATCCATTTATTGGTAAAATGGGGTGCTTTGATTTCTTTTTCTATTGGAGTTCTCTTACTGAGCGCAATTTATTTCAGGGTGTTTAAGGATATCATTGAGTTCGTCGCTTCTAAAATCTGTAATAAATCTAAATTGTACATTAAAACCTTTTTCATTTAAAAATTACCCAATAATTTTTGTTAAGCCAAAGGTAAATGAATAACTAAATCACATAGTTACAATTTCTTTTGAAAATTCAAAGCAAATGGAACGTCGTTGAAAGCATGTGCTCGTGGAACGAGCGTGACAAGGAGAAACGATCAAAATAGTTCAACTGAATGTCGAAGTCAATTTACAAAAAATGGACAATTTTCCTTGTAAGATTTTTATTGTCATTAAGTCTTCACGTCAGTAGGTGGGTGTGAGTGCGTATACCAAGGCGATTTACGTCATACAAGCCAATGAAATCAGAAGGTCAATTTTTTCTACAAACACCTACATCTTTTTGATTCTCTGGTATATCATGTGGAGTCGATAGTTCCAGGTGATTAGAATAAGATTTTAAGGGAAATGTGTAAACCAAGCAAATATTTAATATTGCTGATTTAATAAAGGATGAAGAAGTTGAACATTCGTATCAGATTTTTTTAGCGTTTATAAATCGTATCGTAATATTTTCAGGGAATAGAACAGATAGACGGATCGCTGATGTAAAAGATCAGCGAAAAGCAAACGCGATGCTAGACTTTCGGTTTTTGTTGTTATTACGTGGTAAGATGCAAAAATGTGATATTCTTTTTTTTCAGTCTTAACACGCAAGCAATCCCAGAAGAGCAACGGACGGACGGACCAGTAAACGAAGGAGCATAATGCTCAATACTCAATACTCAATATCTTTATTGCTTTTCCATAAGTCTACCAGTCCACAACTAAAGGTGGTAACAATTTGAGTGAGATCAATTATGGACCCTGTAGGGCACAGCAAAATAAGGCAAACAGGAGAGAGGAAGCTCTGTTTTAATATCTTAAAATAACTGAATTATATTTAAAAATAAATTAAATAATGGTATTTACGTTATGCTAAAAAACAATACAACCATTCTTGTAACCTCAGAAGGGGGAATCTCTTGCTATACCTATAAGTATATTCAAGATTCCTTAACAATGCTTTTTTTTCGAAAATCACCCACATCACAATAATACTTTACTTGATTTGCAAATCAAATCCAAACTCCTCTTGCTCGGCAGTCTCACTAGCTACTCGACCAACGAGGCAGTGTAAAAACTAATAGCAAACTATAAATCTAAAAATGTTGGAGATGTCTCTAAAAAGATTACTCCAGTGCCCCAGTGGGCGTTCGATTGCTGTGATCTTTCAAAGTAAATATTCAGGTATGTTGTGGGTGTGGGTGTTTGTAACATATTACATTTCAAGTAGTTTGACTTGCAAGTGATGTACAACTTAGGTAGGAGTTTTCAAAAATAGTGACCAATATTAAACGTTACCCCACACTAGGATCACCACAGACGGGGCCCTAAAGGGCTGATGTTCAGCCGGGGTTGCGGGGTAAGCGCAATGAGGTACCGCGACCTCGGCACAGAGCAGGAGAAGGAACAGGGGGGTTTTTAGTCAGTAAGAGTCTGACACTCCCTCCTGCCCGGCCCTGGGCGGGAGAAGTCATTTGATGATTTTCCCCTCACAAAAAAAAAAAACCCCACACTAGGATTCTCTCCTGTGTCGTGGGTGCGTTTTCAAACATACAAATTCACACACACAAACCACTAAAACCCGTAACAACTATTTGTGGATCACACAAAATTTCATAACAGCCACTTGCCCAGCCATTGCCCACTGCTCACTTAAACATTGGGGATTGGGTGAGAAGGAGGAATGGACTTCATAATTATAACCTCATTCTTAAAACAAAACACAACGTCTAGTTGTGCACCGTTATTCTGTGAGGCCGAGGTATTATTCCAGTCGAGCCGGACCATTCGTGTTGAAGCATGAATTTCCTACATTTAATTATTTTAAAGCATTTAATTATTTTAGTATCACAATTATTATGTTAATGGTAGTAAGTGTCGATAAACCTCTAATTACATGTATATTTAATTTTTATTTTATTCGTTCAATAGTTTATTAACGTAACTATTGAACGAATTAACCCGACTGGTTTCAAGCCTTGTGGGGGCTCATATAAGTATTTTATAAGCATTATTGATACGACAATAACGAGACACGGTAATACATGCCTATAAGGTATTACAAATATTTTGATTACAAGTTTCTATTTAACTTGTCGTATTACGAATTAAAGAATAAATAATAAAAAATACAATCTATAGTCAAGGAATGTCTACAATTAACTATTTTATATTTTGAATGAATTAAAATCACTTCCTATCTAATTAACATTACTCATTTATAACTATTCAGTTGTTCATACCAACCCTGTAATTAGTACACGGAATAAATTCAAACTGTAGATAATGATTCTTATAATTAAATAGCAGACATTCGAGTTCAGTGTTGTAATTATACCTTTATCAGGTTCTTTCTGCCTGAATTCAGTATCCGTACTTTTACATCATAGTATTTAACGTGTCATAACCATGCTTCGTCTCGATCGGAGTACAGTACAGTAGAGATACAACGACCTCACAGAAAACTGGCGTGAACCAACGCTTGGCATGCAGATAAGAGATTATATTTTTTGACGTTTTAAAATTTCCTATTTATGGTTTAGTTGGAATAAATGATATTCACTTTTCTTTTTTGAATATTTTGAAATCCAGAACACCGAAATTCAAATTTTTCGAACAATTATCGTCATCATCGTCATCGTCAGCCTATAAAGTGCCCACTGCTGAGCAAAGGCCTCTTCTCACACGGAGAAGGTTTGAGCATTAATCACCACGCTTGCTCAATGGGGGTTGGCGATTTCAAACTTATAATTAGAAATTATAAGTCCAGGTTTCCTCACGATGTTTACCTTCACCGTATGCCAGTGGTGTCTAAATAATCATAGAAAGTACATAAAACTCGGAAAAAGTCACATTAGTACTTGCCAGGTTTCGAACCCTCACCCTGATGCATGAGAAGCGGGCGCCTTAACCTCCGGGCCACCACGACTAATATCAATATTAATTTCGAACAATATCAATATATAATTTTCCTCAATATCGTCCGTAGCTTACCAACAGGAGACCATTAAATAATTCGCCACTTTTGTACAATAACCAAAAGCAAAGAATGTTTTCAGTTCACTGTAGTATTTTATCCCTAAACGACAAAGTGATACAGAAAAAACTTCACAGAACAGAAGTCCTTCTACGTGTACATAAATTGTAACACGAATACCTAATCTTCTTCAGATTTTTAATAGGTTACCAAGCATAATGGCTATTGGCCTTCGCCTTCCACCCTCTACACCACACCCTCCTCCTGTGGGCTTACTCCTCGCCACTTAAGTGAATTTAAGCAATTAAAAACCCAATTATACTTTACTTGACTAGCAAACCCGAGACCTTATCCTCAACCGTCGCACTTCTAACTAGAACAATGTCGTTTTTCTCATCATCATCATCTTCAGCCTTTAAGTGCCCACTGCTGAGCAAAGGCCTCTTCTTACACGGAGAACTTTAGAGTACTAATCACCACGCTTGCTCAAGGTGGATTGGCTATTTCAAACTATATAAGTCCAGGTTTCCTTACGATGTTTTCCTTTACTGTATGTCAGTGATGTCTAAATACTCATAGAAAGTACATATAACTCGGAAAAAGTCACATCACATTGACCAGGTTCCTATCCCAGATTAACACGACATACAATGTGGTATTTCTGGTAAACATTTAAATTTTAATAAGATTTGACTTCACACAAAAATTGCTTCCTTAGACAAAATCTATCCGTGCCGACTTTAAAAGTTAAAGTACTCCATTCAAGCTTAAAATCACAAAATCATCATTTCACATTCAATTTCGTCAAACATTCTAAAGTAAGCGAGTGGAAATCTTTAATATAACGTCAATGCCTCTCGTTTATAACTTCCAAAATGATTATTAGGCGAAACTTTTCGCGCAACTTCTCGGGGTACGTCTTAAAAAGCGAAGTTTTTTTCTACAGGGCAAAATCTCTTGAAAAACACGAAGGCTTTTACGGATTGAAAGGAGGAACTTGTAATAAGTTTGTATCAACATTGTCGATGTAACAGACATGTAACATTTTTACGCGTCGTCTGCTCATACCGTTTTCGCAAAGTTCGGAGATTTTGTTCTTTCCAAGTGTAGCGATTGTGCGAGCGGGGATTATGTTTCGCTGTTGTATTTGTACTGATGTTTGTGAAGAAAACGACTTTTGTTTTCGTGTTACAACTTGTTTCTTTTTAACGT